AGGTCGAGGCGGCGGTGGCCGGGAGCGGCCACTGCACTCCAGTCTTGGTGACAGAGTGAGACTCCAACTCAAAAAAAAAAAACAAAAAAGAAAAAAGAAAAACCGTATTTTTCAGGCTTATCATTCACTGTGAATTAACATGTATTGCAATTGACAAGTTTATGACACAGCTTCAATGTTTCATTGGTGTTGGATGGTATTGAGATGTATTTATCAGTGACGTGTCTTCTTGGTTAGAATGGACCCTTAGTAGCATAAGATACCCTTCTGTAAAAAAAGTAGACCCAGCCGGGCTCGGTGGCTCAGCCTGTAATCCCGCGCCTTTGGGAGGCTGAGGTGAGTGGATTGCCTGAGCCCGCAGGTTCGAGACCCGCCTGGATAGTGAGACCTCTCTCTACAATAAATCAAAAAATCAGCCGGGCGTGGTAGCATGTGCCTGTAATTCCGGCTACTCGGAAGGCTGAGGCGGAAGGATCGCTGGAGCCCAGCAGGTCGAGGCTGTGGTGGCCAGAAGCGGCCACTGCACTCCAGTCTGGGTGACAGAATGAGACTCCAACTCAAAACAAAAAAACAAAACAAAACAACAACAATAACAAAAAACAAAAAGGTAGACCCAAGCAAGAGGGTGCCAGATCCTTGAATCAGGATAAGTGGTGGAAGGAAAAAGCCAGGACCAGACAAGATGGACAGATTCTGGAAGGAAAAAGCCCGGACCAGGCAGGACGGGTAGATTCTGGCCCTGCAAGAGAGGCTGAGTGGGCAGGTCCAGACCCCAGATGGAGTGCTAGACTCAGATGTGGTTCATGTTGGTGTCGAAACTGGAAGGAAGGGCAAGCAAGGGCCTATGATGTCAGGCTGACTTCATGAAGAAGGTCCAAGCCAAGAGACCATCCCAAGTCCGACTGACACGTATGTTCTAGACGTTGCAAGATGAAAACCAGAAGATTGTCGTGTTGAGTAAGTCTGGGTTCAGGCCCTGCACTGATAAGGGTCTCTGATATGACCAGCCCTATGTCCCTAAATTGGCCTTGTGGAACACCAGGAACACGAGCAGCATCTTCTGACCTTTGCCAGGGCCTTTATTTCATCATTTGGTTTCAGGGGTGAACTTCTCAGTAAGATAGACACACACACACACACACACACACACACACAAAGTCTGCAAGGCCAATTTAGGGACATACAGCTGGACATATCAGAAATCCTTTCTTGCTCCAGGCCAGGGGTTGGCAACTTCTACCTGTGGGCCAGATTCAGCCCACTACCTGGCTTTGTGAATAAGGTAGTTATTGCGCAGACCCTCCTCCCCACAGGATCAGGACAATCCACAAGAATCCCACCAGGCTCGGGGGAGGGTCACATGGGGGGCATAACCAAAGAAGGAATTCAAGTCTCCGACCAGGACAGGAATCGATTCCGGCAAGAGGAGCCGCGATGCATGTCAGGGATAAAGAGCGAGGCAGGTTGTAGCAGGAGGATGAGGTACAAAGCCAGGATGGCCAGGAGCCATTCCACGTAAGAGGAAGAAAGGTGGTCAGGGCTGTAAACCTGGCACAGTGGCCACGCACGACGTGAAGATGTTGCTGGCCTGCTGCTACAGAAGTCCTGACTGCGTGGCCCAGAGGCAGACTTGGAGAAACGTGCAGGCCCTTACCCCACGTTCAGGGCAGAGACACAAGACCCAGTTCTCGAGCAAGGGAGAGCATCCGGAGGGGAGTCTTGGATGGAACCTGGCATGCTGGGAACACTGCCAGGCAGGATACAGAGTGTGTGCAGGGCCCGAACCCAGACTCACTCAACACCACAATCTTCTGTGCTCCACCACAAAAGATCCCGAGGGAGCCTCGTTGGCCTCACGGGCACCAGGCCACACTTCTGGCCCACCACGTGCTAGCAATGTGGCTGCCAGAGTCTCAAGCCCCACATCGTGGAGGAGGGAGTCTGGGTTTATTTCCCCTGACCTAGTCATGGTCAATTTGGTGCTCTAGCCCCACACTACTCGAAGTGCAGTTCCTTGTCCAGCAACGTTGGCGTCACCCGCAGAGTCTCGGGCCCCACCCAGACTGGCTACAGCAGAACCTGCATTTTAATAAAGCCCAACATGCTTGACACCAGATGGGAACTGACAGTCACCTACTAACAGATGCAAGGGCATGTTTACAAGAATAAGACAGCTTCCTGGGAGCTTGCTCATGTTTCTTCCTCTTTTCCCCTTGGCTATTAGAAGATTGCGTTTGGGAGCAGCCACTTCCCCTCTCTGGATTCCAGTTTTCCCAGCTAATGAGGGGATTCTGTCTTTATAAGGGTCCTTCCCTAAGCTGGGCGTGATGGCTCATGCCTGTCATCCCAGCACTTTGGGAGGCGGAGGTGAAAGGATTGCCTGAATCCAGGGGTTCAAGAACAGTTTGGGCAACTTGGTGAGACCTTGTCTCTACAACAAATTTAAAAATTAGCCAGGCATGGTGGTGCACACCTGATCGGAAGGCTGAGGCGGATCACGGAGCCCAGCAGGTCGAGGCTGCGATGGCCATGAGCATGCCATTGCACTCCAGCCAGGATGACAGTGAAGCTCCAATTCAAAAAAAAAAAAAAAAAATGGGTTTTGGGTTCTAAAAGTTGGCACTCATGCAAACCCACCTGTCCTACATTCTGGAAGAAGTCCAGAGCCACTGTTACATTAGGAGTTTTTTCCTGTGTGATTCATACTATTATGTAGCTCTGGCTAGGCAAGAGAGGTTCATCAACTACATGGTCGTTGACTAATGAGGCAGAGTGACACAATCCTGAACATAAGGCCAGTGTTGTCTGGGTGACACAGAGTAATGCAGGAACACCAGGAACACGAGCAGCATCTTCTGACCTTTGCCAGGGCTTTTATTTCATCATTTAGTTTCAGGGGTGAACTTCTCAGTAAGATAGACACACACACACACACACACACACACACACACACACACACACACACTTCTCAGTTAGACACACACACACACACACACACACACACACACACACACACTTCTCAGTAAGATAGACACACACACACACACACACACACACACACACACACACACACACACACACAGTCCGCAAGGCCAATTTAGGGACATATGGCTGGTTATATCAGAGACCCTTTCTTGCTCCAGGCCAGGGGTTGGCAAACTTCTATCTGTGGGCCAGATCCAGCCCATTACCTGGCTTTGTGAATAAGGTTGTATCAGACCATAGCCACACTCATTCGTTTACGCGCCACCCCTGGCTGCTTTCATGCTCACACTGCAGAGCTGAGTGGTCGCAGAAGGTCTTATGGCCCGCAGAGCCTAAAACTTTTATTGTCTGGCCTTTGGCAGAAAAAGTTTGCCAACCTCTGCTGTAGCCCAGGAGCAAAGGGAGTGAAGTTTACATCTTCGGATCAATGGCATTTTGTCCAGTTTAAGAAGAGATGCACCAAGGAACTTAGTAAACAGAGCCTTGCTATACTGTGCCGGAACCTGGGGATAATTGTGGTAGTTACCCCTAGCTAATCATCCAGAACTAAGATGGATCTTTCCACTACTGAGGCCGCAGCCTGTCCAAAAGGCAGCTGTGAGCGAAGGGCGGTAGCTGGTTGCAGGTGGCTGCCGTGACTCCCAGACACTTGGCCACAGAATTGAGCGCCGACATGTCGTGACGACCAAGCTGAGACCCCTAAAGCATTCCAGAGGGCAACCCTTTCTGAGATGGAAGGATTTAGACCTGTGAGAGGTGCACCACCAAACTTCCTCCTTTCACACTCAAGGAAATTTCAGCATCCACAGAAAGACCAGATTGCACGCCTCCTTAATTAATAGACCTCTTAGCGGGCTCGGTGGCTCAGCCGGTAATCCCATGCCTTTGGGAGGCTGAGGTGAGTGGATTGCCTGAGCCAGCGGGTTCGAGACCCGCCTGGGCAACTTGGTGAGACCTCATCTCTACAGTAAATCAAAAAATTAGCCGGGCGTGGTAGCGCACACCTGTAGTTCCAGCTACCTGGAAGGCTGAGGTGGAAGGATCGCCGGAGCCCAGCAGGTCGAGGCTGCAGTGCCCGGGAATGGCCACTGCGCTCCAGCCTGGGCGATGGAGTGAGACTCCAACTCAAAAAAAAAAAATTAATAGGCCTCTTGATGTACTGACCCATCTCTTGTTATTTTTATGAGCTTGTTGAGGGCAAGGACTGTGTCCGATTCACCTAGCAGAAAGGCTGGTCCCTCGTAGCTGCTCAGTGTAGGTTTGCTGAGTGGACGACAGAGTCTGGGGTTGTCATCAGTCTGTTAGCTTCGGTGCCTGCTCGTCACCACACACACACACACACACACACACACACACACGCCACCAGCGCTTCCCAAGCCTGGAGCACGCATACAGAGTGACGAAACCAACCCACAGAGACACAAGGCGCCGAAGGCGGAAGTCCCTGAGGCAACATGTCCTCAAGACAGAATCAGCCCGGGAGGCCCCCCACAGCCTCCAGGATCTGCAGACAGTGGAAATACCAAGCCCTGCCCCTGCCTTCCGCCCCCTCGGGAGCAGCAGCCTTCAGGTTTCCCACTGTGAAGGGCACAATGTTTTCTCCCCTGAAGGTGGACAGAACCTTAGATGAAAGCCCAAGGTGCTGGCTGCCCCCAGTTGTGACACCCGGGGTGACCTGGAGAAAGTTCTGCCGAAAGCGGGCCGTGATGTGTGCAAACACCCAGCGGGTGGCTTCCTCCCGCGGCCTCCTGCAAGCCTGACTGCCGGAGAGTGGAGGCAAGGGGCACCTCCTGCCTTGCTGCCGTGTCAGGCCTGCTCTGGGGATGAGCCTGGGCCAGCAGCTGTCTTGCGAGGCCTGGAAAAGCCACCTGAAGCTCCTTCCGAGCCTGCGGTCACCGAACCCGAGCTTTAACAAACCCGGTGCCCACCCAGTGCTCCCTGCCCTGTCCTCACGTCGTGTCTCTGGGCTTCAGATTTCTCACCTGTCAGAGAGGGATGAGACCTAGGAGTCCGTCGAGAACGTGTGCTTACACGCCATCCCTGGCTGCTATCATGCTCACGCTGCAGAGCTCAGCTGAAGTTAGGGCTTTGCCTCTCTTACCCAGTCATGGCAGGAGCGTCTCCAACTGTGAACCGGCCAAGAGCTCCCGGGCCAAATGCAAACTTGTGTTTGGCTCAGCTCCGCTGTCGCTCTGTCTCCTTTAAGGTGTCCTGGTCCGTGAGATCCTCGACCACATGAAGAGCGCAGCTCAGACACCGGGCTACAGAAAACTCGTCGTGTATTCTGCGGTAAGTACCTGCGTCTTCCTGTAACATCCATTGGCTTGGGGCGTGGTCTCTGGGAGCCCGGGGCTGCTTTTTCATTTCCCTGCCGCTCAGTAGATGGCGGGCGCCTGCACAAAACGCTTAGAATCAGACGCATCGTTCAATCCTAAGTCATGCCGACAAGAGGTCAGACGGGTCAACACCACACGGAGCCGTGTGGAGCTGTCCTACAAGCGAGTGCCTTGGTGCCTCAGAAAAGCCGGCCAGCTCGTCTATTCCAGGAGGGTGAGACGAGAAAGCAGCCTTTCTGGACAAGGCGGACAGCCGGCGCGGCGGGATGGAAGCGTTGGAAGGGCTCCTCCCTGGTGTGTGGGGAGCATGGAGGGAATCCTTCAGACAGAGGGAGAAGGCCAGGAACGGCATGTGGAGAAACTGGTGCCAAATGAGCAGATGTGAGCTGTGCTGCCCCGCCTGGTGCCTGGCGCCTGCCACCTGCCGCAGGCAGCTGTTTTCACTCAAGTTAACCATGACCAAACAGAGCGGAAACCCAAGTCCCTCAGCTGCACCAGCCGCACTTCCAGCACTCAACCGCCACACGTGGTCCGTGGCTACTGAGGCGGGCAGCACAGATGTGGATCATCTCCATCATCACTGAATGCTGTATCCGACAGTCCCTTTGCAGTCCCGAAGCGCGAGCTGGGTGGCGGCCGGTAGGCCACCTTGTCCCACCTTTTGGTTGATGCAGGGGAGCCAGGGGATGGGTGGGGGGAGGCAGGACAGCAGTGATAGCCGGAGAGCCGCATTTTGGAGATTAACCCTTTGGGAGAATGGCTGGACACTGGAAACAGGACGTCGTGGAGGAAGCTCTTGTAACAGTCTCGAGAAATGGGGGTGAGGCTGAAACCAGGACAACGACTGGAGAGGAAAAACGAGCTGGGCTACGGGAAAGCTGAGCGTGCCTGTCGCGGGGCTGTTCACTCCATTTTGTAGATGTGGCAGTTGAGGATTGTCTAAGGTTAGACAGGTAATCAGTGGCACAACGGAGACTGAAAACCACTCCCCTGTTCCAGCCACTCTGGGGTAAGCGTTTAACTTTGTTTTTAAGCTGCACCCTCTACTTCCTTACATTTTATTCTCTGTAAACATACTCGTTCACAACTAAATCACAGATGATGCTCATCTGTAGAAAAATATAATGTAGCATTAATGTGTTCCGAATATTTTTAAATTTAGTGAAAACCAATGAAAAAGCTCCACTGGGAAAAGGCACAGGACTTGGACTGATTCGAACTGTCTTTCTTCTGCTTGGGGTCAGTGACGTTGTCACATAAGTTACTTAATTTCTCTGGGTCTCAGGTTCTTCGTCTTTTAAAAGGAAATGATGATGTGTACGTAAAACCCACTGCCTGGCACACAGCCGAGGCTAGCCACAGTCAGTCCCCTCTCCTTGAGAGTCAACTTGGCTGGCTCCGAGCCGGCCTGGCGCTCGCTGGCGCTTCCTCCCTGCAGAGGCGAGAGCCTGGTGTGTTTCAACCCCACAGCATGACACGACGGTGAGCGGCCTGCAGATGGCCCTGGACGTCTACAATGGGCTTCTTCCTCCCTACGCCTCTTGCCACCTGATGGAGCTGTACCTCGAGAAGGGGTAAGGGTCATCGCTGGACTCCCTTTCGCTGTTGTGGGCTTACGGGCCGTCGCGTCTGGCTGGCTGCCTTTGGTCAGCTTTATGTTCAGAGGCAAGAACGGGGGGAACATGGCGTTGCTTTCTCTCCCCCCTTTAACACGCCCATGTTATGAATCTTGTATGGGGTATATTTTCGACTGAGACGCTGAGCTACAGGGGAAAAAATTAACCAAAGTCCATGAACAGGTCAAGTGTGTTGCTTTACTAGGATTTTTTAAATTGGCACTCTAGGGAGATAGCAAAGGTTAAACTTGATTGCTTTTTAATTAGGCACAAAGAGGCATCAAGCTAACAACTACTATATGTCTCAGCTAGTCATGGCTCTTCTTTCTGTTTTCATGAAAACTTTTATTGGAAAATGATGTACATACACAGTAGAAGAAAAACTTGAGAGCATTACCCTAGGTGGCAGAGACTACATTCTTTTAAAAATTCAGGTATTCTAAGAAGTATGCAGGCATTACATCATTCTCTGGAAAACATGGGCTGGCAGAATTCACCAAGAGAAAAACTAAATTTCTGGATGGCTATTCAATTAAAGAATTCAACCTATCTATTCAGCTCCTGGTGACTCATCTCTACCTGCCAAAATTCTTAAAATATAACCTCTGACTATGTTTACCTCCTTGTGACCTGGTGTGGCTTCCCTTGCTGACTGTGGCTTCATTTGAACCCACTGGAAGGATCACAGGTAGAGTGGCCAAATGCCCTGTTTACCCAGAATTGAGGGGGTTTCCAAACTTGTAAGTTTCATTGTTAAAACCAGGAGTGTTCGAGGAAAACCAGAAAGAGTAAAGAGTCGATTACCGTAGCCAAGTTCCTCCCAAACATTCAGTTCTGCCGTGACGATGGCATTCTCACTGTGAGGAGAAAGGAGAGGTGTTGGGGCAATTCATCAGTCTTCATGGATAATATTGGTGGAATGAGAGCAAAGAGGGAACCAAGTTAAGGCAGGACCCCAGAGTTTTATGTCAGAGCTGGCTGGGGAGAGCTATTTTGCCCTTCCCTTGAGGCATTCACAGCAGCTGCACACCAGACTCGCTGCGCAGTTACACAGCGCCCTGTGCTCAGAAGAGCCCGTGACCTGCCTAGTGACCTGCTGTTGCCATCTTGCAATTGCAAGTAATTTTTAGACAACCTGCATTTCATCTTATACATTTTCTAGTTCTAGATGTAGGTTTCTGGCCCCTCTGAATTTGCTGAACGGGAAAGTAACAGCACAGAGAACTCAACATTCTCAACCAGTATGTTCACCGCTTGCAAAGAAGTGAGTTCTGCACAGTTAGGGATGGGTTGATGTATCCTTTATCGACCCTCAGAGTGTCAGGTGCAATAAAGTGGGACTAAAATGTGGTCTTGGCTAAGCTTGCTCTCAAATATCTAGAGTCGGAGTGGAGAGACAAGACCTACAAAATGGAGACCAGCTAAAAAACAACAACAAAAACAAAACCCCCAGAAAATGAGAGTGGACTGAACACATAAAATCCTCTCTTAGAACAAGCCTTGCACAAGCCTGCCCCTTTGAAGGTCTGCTCTGGGCACGGTCCAGTCACAATTCCAGGATCAGCTCCAGTAGCAGGCACCAGCTCTTTAGGGATAAGACAAGAGACGCTACTTACTTGACTTGGATGTCCCTCCTCTCTGGCCTCTGCACCCCGGTGGTCCAAGCTTGCTTCATTAGGGCACAGTAGCATTTTTTCCCATGGAGTTGCTTTCTCCTCTTCCTTTAGTAAACCCACGTTATGAATCACGTTTGGAGTATACTTTCAAACTGAGAGACATTGAGATACAGAAAAAAATTAAGCAAGGTCCAGGAACAGGTGAAGTTTGTATAATAAGATTTTTTAAATTGGCACTCTAGGGACATATGAAGGGTTAAACTTGACTGCTTTTAAGTTAGGAGCAATGAGGCGTCAAGTGAACGAATACGACATACACCTGCTTATTAGGTGATCCTACATTCTCCCTATGAGAAGATAAGGAGAGGGATTGCAAGGGAGAATGTTACCGACTTTCAGTCATCTTAAATATGTAAGCTGTTCAAGTTGTAGATAAGGCAGCCAAATAGATACTTAAATTTTAGTTAGGTGCATACATGTAAAACCATAGACTATATAAAATAATATATTAAGCTCAAAATATTGCTTTTTCCATTTTATAAAAGTTTTATCCCTAAATTTTTGTTTGTATCTTTAGCTTGTGTCTTCACCACTAGAGCCAATTGTGAGTCCCCTAAGACTGTTTTCCAAATATAATAAGGGACTAATACAGGGTCATTCGGGCTTCTGTACATGTGAGCCCCAAATTCTCAAAGGCTCAACCCAAGAGAGATTAATTTCTCACTCATCTCACTATCCAGTGCAAATGTTCCTGGTCAGTAGGAAGTGACACCCTGAGTCCCACAGGGTGATTCAGACATCCAGGGCTGCCTGCTCTGGACCTGCCGTTTCAAGGGCACCGTGCTCACCTAGGCAGCTTGTAGAAAGGAACGAAAGGGCAGAGAAGACAGCCTGTTTATCAATCACTTCAGCCCCAAAGGGGCACGTGCCACGTCATTTCTGCTCACATTCTACCAGCTAAAATGCGAGACTTGGTCCTACCTAGGTGCAAGGAGTCTGGGAAATGTCGTCACGTCTGAGCCCCAACTCTATTCTGTCAAAAGAGAATCGTGGATTTTGAGAGAAGATTGGTCATCAAGGTCATATTACCTTGACATAAAAGAGGCTGTCACCGGAAAAGTTACTCCAAGATACAAGTGCTCATTCAAATAATGTTAGGGACATTTTAAAAAATATATCTTATAAGTAACTATTTGCAATTAGTATGTTCATATGGTTTTTTTAAGTGGTGTTTTAAAAGGCTTACTTATCACAACATCCAAAAGTTGCAGTTATGAAGTTATGACCTCAAGAAGGATCAGTAAATCCTACTTGAATTTCACTCCCCCCTCCTTAGCTGGCAAACGACTTCCATTAGCAACTCGTACTAGTTTTACTGAGGTTGGTTTAGGTCATTGGACCTTCCCCAAACAGTACTTTGTTTTTTAACATGACACGTTAACATGTCCTTAACATGACACGACATAAGGATTTGAATACATACCCACCTCCTCTTTCTGAGGGATAGTTTTTTGAAGTCCTGTCATATCTTTAAGCACATTTGTTATATGTTGTTCAGTTCCATGTTTGTGGCCCGGTTAAGGAGAGGGGAGACACATTCAGAGGCAAGAATGAAAGAAATAGTCAGGAGAAGAGAAAGAAGGAGCAAACTTCATGAAAAGAAGAGACTAGGAGAAGGAAAACCCAACACCCCCTGCCCCCACTTTTTATTCAAAGGCTCGTTGAGGTCTCACCCAGCTCCCACAACCATCACTTCTACCTCCTTCTCTGATCGAGCATCCTAGTACCCACCTCCTACAACCTGTTCATCTGACAAACCAGCCCTCCCATTTCTTTCTTTTTGAGGTGGAGTCTCACTCTGTCGCCCAGGCTGGAGTGCCGTGGCACACTCATGGCCACCGCAGCCTCGACCTGCTGGGCTCAGGTGATCCTTCCACCTCAGCCTTTCAAGTAGCTGGAATTATAGGCATGTGCCATCACACCCGGCTAATTTTTTGATGTATTACAGAGATGAGGTCTCGCCAGTTTGCCCAGGCTGGTCTCAAACCCCTTGGCTCAGGCAATCCTCTCGCCCCCGCCTCCGAAAGTGCTGAGATGACAGGCTTGAGCCACCAGGCCTGGCCAAGCCATCCCATTTCTGCCCTCCAAATCCATCCTACCTGCCCAATCTCCTCATTCTCACACCTGAGTTGGCCCAAATCTCCACACTGCCATACGCTTTCCCACTAGTCCCTCAGCCGACATGTCACAGCCCAGGTGGGAAGAAGTTCGGTGACTGTTCAACCACACAAAACTCACGCCACACTCTCCTCCGCCTTCCTCCACCAGGGAGTACTTCGTGGAGATGTACTATCGGAATGAGACTGGTCGCGAGCCACATCCCCTCACGCTACCTGGCTGCGCTGCCAGCTGTCCTCTGGAGAAGTTTGCTGCGCTGGTTGCCCCTGTGATCCCTCAAGACTGGTCCGCGGAGTGTACGACCACAAGCAACCACCAAGGTACCGTGGACATTACAGACTAGTGTTCACAGCTTGCAGAAAGATCAGATGCTGCTTTGATGATGTACTTTGGCCGTTAGCACCAGCTTTGAGGAAGAAGGGTTTTGGGTGATAATTGCATGGTTCAGGGATCCCTAGCTTTAGGCCGCTTCTACCTCTCCACCTGGTCCTGCCCCAACTTGCCATAAAGCTTAACTCTCTCTCTCTGTCTCTCTCTCTCTCTCTCTCTCTCTCTCTCTCTCTCTCTCTCTCTCTCTCTCTCTCTCTCTCTGTATGTGTAAAATACATCAGTATCAAAATTAATCAGGAATAAAACTTGGGTCAGAGTTCACGGGGCTGGCATGAGCCATATAATGGTCACACCGGGCCTTCTGTTTTTAGGGACTGTCAGATTTTGCCTGAGCAGGATTAGATGAAGCTGTTCATTAAATATCAGATGTGGAACAGATCTCAAACAAAACCTATAATCTAGGCAGGAAAGGAAAGGTGTTAATCGTAGGCCACTGGACAATGGACCAACTACCTGTTAGTTCCAGCCTTCTCCCAAGGAGAGGCAAAGAAATGAGATGCAGTGGAGCCAAATGAAGATGTTTTCTCCACAGGAAACATGCTACTACCTGTTTTTATAATTATGTTAAAACACGCCGGGCACCAAGAAATAAAAGCCTCTTTGTGTCCTTTAGCCATGGAACACTCAGGTTCCTCTTAAAGAAACAGAAATAAAACTTTCCAGAAAAACTTGATGTATGCAATCCATATGGCAGCTCTTGGAATAGACGCAAATAAGCCACTGATGAGAGCAAGATGCTCAGCACCACACAGCTGAGCCAAGAGCGCTGTGTGACGGTGCTCCCCTTGTCGCGCCCATGGCTGGGATTGTGAGTCTACAGTTGACCCAGGCGAGGAGGTGTCATGACACACGTCAAGCTGGAACAAAACTGGAAGTGTAATGTGTTCTAAGTGCCTCCGAATTCAAACGTATTGGAATGATGAGAGTGGGGTTGTGACGTCTGTTCAGAGGACAAAGGGAATGTGTTGGGCTTTGGTCCTGGTAACTTCAAAAATCCCAAGCAAACTCTCAGGTGCTGCTGAAACTGCCCACTGTGCAAGAAGAAATCAAGTTCAAATGACAATCTTTAGAGTCCTGTAACTTTGTCACATGATAGAGAACACCAAGCTGTAGTAACATACGGATAAAGACAAGATGGTACCTAGAGGCGGTTTCCACCGGATGCCAGAATCTAGAGCGAGCCATCCCCTCTCCTGGTTGGTTCCAGAATGACTGACACAGACACCGATTGATATGCTTCTTTGTGTCATTGCTTTCCCAAGTAAACACTTGTCCTCTCTGCCATTGTTTCTGCTTGTAACTTTCTTCTAGCGGCAAGCCAAATGTAAAACAGTGAATAAAGTCATTATTAGGAAATTCAAAAACATTACTTTTATAATGAACTTGGAAAAATGTGTGTGTATATGATTAGAATAAAAGTCCTTCAGGCAGATTTCAGGGGCTTCTTTTTGCTTGAAGTTTTTATTTTAAAGCCACAGGAGAGGAAATATTAGTGTAAAGTAAAAGGATTTGACTGGCTTACATGAACATTTTGCACTGAAAATCGAGTTTGGACTTTCCTACTTCAGATAAAGGTGAAGCTGTGAACAGCTCCACCTCACCTATATAAGATGGAACTTGCTGAAAGACAGCCCTCAGGAAGTGCACAACATACCAGGGAGGTACAGAGATACACACTACATTACCAGAATAACAAGGGTATGCCTTATGGCTACACAGGCTGTTGTGGGAACAAGCGTTACCTGGATTTGGAAGGAGGAAGTAAGGACGATCAGGGAAGGCTTTCTGCAGGAAGCAGCAACGGCACCATGTGGAATCAATCTGGATATAGGTTTCTAATAGTATTGGACACGGTACTAGAAAGACATTTACCCAATGTCCTAGTGGTTTGGAGCTGGGAAGGAGAGGGGGGTTACTAGACAGAAGATTCAGAGTCCAAAGAGGTCCCCACTGGTTTCATTTAAGGGGCCATTTCTAAAAATATGAAATATCAGCTCCACTAGAGCAACGATTTTTTTCACTCTGTCTGTCCTCAGTACCTAGAAGTGCCTGTGCTAGGCATGGATTGGTGCTCGGTGAGTGTTTGCACCAAATGTGATTGACGTGTACATGAGTAACCTTCCTCCCCGAACCCACTCTTCTCTCTTGATTAGCAGTAATACTCAGTAACCCAGGAGTCGCGCCTGTCCCAGCCTCTCCTTCACTCCCCGTCATCTCGCTCCCCTTCTTTTCAAATCTGCCTGTGGAATGTCTGTAGAATGTTTTCCTTCAAAACACCAACACCAACAACTTAATATCCAAGTAGAGTGAAATACGATTAAGCAGCAAAATATGTCGAGGAGAAGAGCACACAGGGGTTGATGTGCCCTAGGCAGCTTGGACAGAGCTCAGCTCCGGGCTCAGCAACTTCACTTGGGCAACTTGGCGTTGACTGTGGTGGGAGCATTTTCACCCCGGAAACCCAATGCCGCCAATCTTACCAGCATGCCACGGGTTTCAGCGCACAGAAGGTGTGTGAAGAGTCTGTGACATGTGGTGGCCTCTAACCAAGTGAGTTCAGTATTTGAGCCTCTTTCAGAGAAAAGGATTGGATTTGTTCAACATGATCTTAAGGAATGATGCTAGGGCAGCAGGTAAAACTTTCAGGAAGACAGGCTGTTGTTCAGTCTTGGGAAATTCCTGACCCAGGAAGTGGCCGTTGGGCTGGGTGACCGCTTACCTTAGCAGAGATGCTGCAAAGTAGACCGAAGTATGGGAGGCCCTCTGGGTGGAAGGGACTCCCTAGAAGGGCCACAGAATAGTAGCACAGAGTGCACGGATAAATCTGGCAAGTAGCTCTAACTGCTAAACTTTTGTCATCAATTAATTTATTTTTTATTTTTATTATTTTGAGTCAGAGTCTCACACTGTCACCCAGGCTAGAGTGCAGTGGCACGCTGCTCACGGCCACCACAGCCTCAACCTGCCGGGCTCAGGCGATCCTTCCCCCTGAGCCTTCCAGGTAGCTAGAACTACAGATGCATACACGCCCGGCTAATTTTTTGTCATTTATTGTAGAAACAAGGTCTCACCAAGTTGCCCGGGCAGGTCTTGAATCCCCGGGCTCAGGCAGTCCTCTCACCTCAGCCTCCCAAAGTGCTAGAATGACAGGCTGAGGCACCACGCCTGGTCTGTAATTAATTTGTAAAAAGCGAATATAAGACACCTGCGGTGTTCTGAGAACGCCAAATAGGAAGCAGGGCAGAATCATTAACTACGGGCATGACCCATCTACACAAGACACCGGCAATCCTACTCCTTGGGGCATTTCCACCCAGAAATTCTGCCCCTCCCCATGAGTACAGCAGTGTTTTCCACTGGTGCTAACAGGCTCTCTTAAGCAGATCTCATCACGTAAAGTAGCCAGAGTCTTTGCTGCCAAATTCGTAAGTCTAAGTTCCATGCTATGTTACTTGAAAATAATTTTATAAATAATACTTCTTCAGCTGGGCTCAGTGGCTCAGCCTGTAATCCCGCACCTTGGGAGGCTGAGGTGAGTGGATTGCCTGAGTTCACAGGTTCGAGACCTGCCTGGGCAACTTGGTGAGACCTCATCTCTACAATAAATCAAAAAAATGAGCCGGGCATGGTAGCGCGTGCCTGTAGTTCCAGCTACTCGGATGGCTGAGGCGGAAGGATCGCCGGAGCCCAGCGGGTCGAGGCTGCTGTGGCTGGGAGCGGCCACTGCACTCCAGTCTGGGTGACAGAGTGAGACTCCAACTCAAAATAATAATAATAATAATAATACTCCAATTCTCAAACCTCACCAACACAGTCAGACTTTCTTCTCTGGTGTTTTCTCGTCCCTGATGTGCTACTGAGCCATGTCCAACTCCCCTGATTCCAAAGGAAGGAGACTAACTGGGGGGGACACTCTAGTTTTCCCTCTTTATCTTGGTGAAACTGAGAATCTGCAGTACATATGCACATGCCAAAGGGTCAACCACGAGTTTCTTAAAGGCAAGAGCCATACATTTTTTCTGTTTCGAATCTCCAGCCAGTACCTGATGCACAGAGCCCACTCAACACTGGCTCGTTGAATAAACGTTCAGCCCTCCATGCCTAGCCCGCCTTCCTCATGGCTGGACTCCGGTGCCAGAAGCCTGGAGTTCAGTCGATGAATAGGAGAGGGAGCCTATGGACAAGCCTTAAATGGGATGGCGCCGTAAGGACTCCATCGCTGGTCGTGTATCCATACACACGTGCCAACAGGTCTGCCATTTGACCTCTGTTTCCAGCACAGTAGCTTGGCATGCCCTGGCTCCTCCGTTGCTGTTAAGAGCCCCTGTTCAGTGATGTCCATCCAGCATTCTTCCTCCCTCAGCGGCGAGGCCATCTGATGACGACACCTTTTCCCTCATCCTTGTGACCCTTATCTTCCGTTTCCCAGCACAGAGCTCATCATTGGCTAAAGACCTCGGGAACTTGCTCTGCACAAATATACGCCTCACTCCACTTCTGGGCTCAACATAGACAGCTCTGACAGTCATGAGGCTAACCTGTCCCACTCCCTGTCCTCCACACCAGTATCCCACCCTCGATCAAGTCAGTCCCATGAGTCTTGCGTTCGGATCTGCTGGATTGAGCTGAAAAACAAGCATCACGCCTACTGCCATTATCCCGAACTATGACTGTTGACATTTCCATTCCCACCCTCAGCGGAGGCTCTCGACGTTGCTTGGTGAATGCACTCCCCTTGACTGGACACCTTTCCTGCTCCCTACAGAAAGCCTTATTTATTTTTCCCAAACTTCTGACTCCATGTTCTCTTCTTTCTCTTATAAGCAAGACAATTCATTGGTAACGCTTTAAAATTCTCTCACCGCCTCAGAACACCTCACCTTTCCTCTGCTCCTGTCCTTGGGAAAGCAAATTCCTCCTTGAGTGACTGACTTTTCACACTGTGCACAGGAGCCCGTCCCTACGGCCTCAGGACCTCAATTAATTTCTTCATCAGCTTCATTTTCTTGACTAGAGGTTCGAGACCAGCCTGGGCAACTTAGTGAGACCTTGTTTCTATGATAAGTCAAAAAATAAGCCAGGCATGGTAGCATGTACTTGTAGCTCCAGTGACTTGGAAGGCTGAGGTGGAAGGACCACCTGAGCCCAGCAGGTCAAGTGTGGCCGTGAGCGTGCCACTGCCCTCCAGCCTGGGCAACAGTGAGACTCCGACTCAAAACAAAACAAAAAAACCCTCAAGTGCCTGCTCCATCTCACTCTCCTCAGTTTTAATTTTCTTGAACGAATGATTCACATTTTCTAGCACTATTTTTTCACTTCCTTCTCACTCCTTAGCTATTCTGTGAAATTGTGTCCACCCTTTCTTCATCTCTTTTTTAAAAACTTCCCTTTTGAAAGTCATCAAGGTCTAATTCAGTGGCCTCTTTTCCTTTCTCTGTGAAGCAGGCATCCATAGTTCCATTTTACAGAGAAGAAAGCTGAGGCTCAGAGAATGACATGTCATAAGTAGGGATTTAAACCTAACACTCTCCAACATTATAAATTCCCTTTTCATCTCACACTGCCTCATGACCTATTTTCTCAGGGAACTTTCCAAAAGTAGGACTGGTAGGGTCAAGGTATATGCATATTTAATAAACAATAGGTACTTACTGAGCACCCACTACATACTCAATAAGCGGCAGGCATTGAGTTTGCCAAGGAAATAGCAGCAGGCACGAAGATCATCCCCACGTGGTTTTGTGGGGTCCAGGATGGGAGGACGGGCAAAGACAAGGAGATAAACATGCTTGCTTAACGCTAAACACGAGGAGTGCCATCGTGAAGGACAGACAGGTGGTGATAGAACACGGCGGAGCAATTAGCCCAAGGCTAAAGGGTCGGAGAAGGCTTCTCCAAGGCATGATGCCTTAGCCAAAACCTGAGGAGCTACCGGGTGAATGGAGGTGAGGAGCAGGGCGAACGTTCTGCCAGAGCAGAGGATGTATAAGGGCCTAGGGCCAAAGACGGCATGGGGCCTTTCAGGGCCTGGACAGAGCCTGGCGAGTGCAGAGGGCCGCAGCTCAGAGGCGGGGCTAAGCGCCATGTAGGTCGAGCAAGTGCTTGTGGTCACGGGAAGAAATGAGCAGGACCAGAGGAAGACTGAAGGCCGGGAGAGCAGCCGGCAGGCGGCCGTGCCACTCCGGGGCCGGGGTCGGCGGAAGAGAAGAGCAGGCTCGCGGGAAGGAAGCCTGAGGCAAGGCAGGCAGGACCGGAGGGTTCACGGCAGGAGGGAGAGGCTGGGGTTGCGTGTGTCGCCAGGAAGACTTTTCCAGAAGGGAGCGCCGATTCACCCTGCCGTCAGCAGCTTTTGTGTGTTCTCATGGAGACACACACAAGACATCTTTTCAGTCATTGCCTGTGCTAGGCCTCTTTGCAGTAAGAGTCAGTCGATCTGCCAGGTGCTGTGGCTCCTGCCTATAATCCCAGCACTTTGGGAGGCTGAGGCGAGAGGATTGCCTGAGCCCACGGGTTCGAGATCAGTGTGGGCAACTTGGCGAGACCTCATCTCTACAAGAAGTCAAAAATTTAGCCGGGCACGGTGGCACGTGCCTGTAGTTCCAGCTACTTGAAAGGTTGAGGTGGAAGGGTCACCTGAACCCAGCAGGTCAACACTAGGGTAGCCGTGAACATGTCATGGCACTCCAGCCTGGGCAACAGAGTAAGACTCCAACTCAAAAAATAAAATAAAATAAAAGATTCAGTCGACCATGCTCTTTCCTCAGCTTCTAGAACATTGTTCTGCCAAACTCCTAACATCCTTTGCAAGACAAGGAAGCATATAATTTATTTTTTTTATTAAAAAAAATTTTTTTTGAGTTGGAGTCTCACTCCATCTCCCCGGCTAGAGGGCAGTGGCACGCTCCCGGCCACCGCAGCCTCAACCTGCTGGGCTCTGGCGATCCTTCAGCCTCAGCCTTCCAAGTAGCTGGAACTCCAGGCATGCGCCACCACGCCCGGCTAATTTTTGATTTCTTGTAGAGACCAGGTCTCGCCAAGTTGCCCAGGTGGGTCTTGAACCCTCAGGCTCAGGCAGTCCACTCACCTCGGCCTCCCAAAGTGCTGGGATGACAGACTGTGCCACCGTGAGCATATAATTGAAAAATAAGTAAACATGAGAAGAGAGACAGAGAACCCTCCCGAGTGTTTTCTGTGTTCTCGCGCTCCTCGTTCCACACTCACCTTGAGCCAGAATGATAACCTGTAACAAGCACACGCTGGAAACAAAACGTATTGTCTTCTCTATTGTTTTTTTGTGGCCCCAATCTCAATTCATCTTCTCGGTCACCCAAAGAAGAACCGATGAGGCTGCCTTGGCCACAACTTCTCCTTTACTGGCCGATTTAGCCTGTTATCAAAGCTGTTGATTCTTCTGCAGGGCTATCTCTTGAATCCCCTCATCTGATTTATTCTCAGGGCCATAACTTCAGTTACCCAAGGTATTTCAATAGCTTTCTATCAGGTCTACCATGTCGCCACCATCCTATTTTTGCCGGTTTTTGTAGAACCCACAGGATGTCCTGATAGATTGGGGATAGGATGTGAGAGAAATAAGAGTCAAGTCCCAGCTGGGCTTGGTGGCTCAGCCTGTAATCCTACGCCTTTGGGAGGCTGAGGTGAGCGGATTGCCTGAGCCCAGGGGTTCGAGACCCGCCTGGGTAACTTGGCGAGACCTCATCTCTACAATAAATCAAAAATTAGCCGGGCATGGTAGCAAACTCCTGTAATTCCAGCTACTTGGAAGGCTGAGGTAGAAGGATCGCCAGAGCCCAGCAAGTCGAGGCTGTGGTGGCTGGGAGCAGCCACTGCACTCCAGTCTGGGCGACAGAGTGAGACTCCAACTCAAAAAAAAAAAAGAGCCAAGTCCTGAGTCAACTGAAGAAGGGGATTCCCATGAACTAAAGTGGGAGAAGTCTGTGGAAAGAGCAGATTTAGTGTGGGGAAGAGAATGGAAAGATGGTGGGAGTTCAGTTCTGGACTTGCTGAGACTGAAATGCCTGTCAGACGTCCAAGGCAGTATGTCAAGAACACCGTTGGATATGAGTCTTGAGCTTTAGGTGTTGGAGCTGGAGATTTAAATTGTTTGTCACTAGTGAATAGATGTTTCGTTTTGTTTTTTTAATCGTGAGACTAAGAACCCACATATTCCATCCCCAGTACAACCATCTGCTTGGCCTTAGCCAAATAATCTAATCTCTCTCTGATGTCCTCATCCTTCCAAGGCTAACCTTAGGTCAAATCAGTGATTTTCACCGGAATTCCATGGAAGCACTAAGGTTCTGTAGAAAGAGCCGCTGGGATTAGAGGGATGCTTGCTTTCCCATTGCCTAGTGAACAAGAAACCCCATATTTTTACAAGGAAAAGACACACACTTAGAGGTGGTGCCAATCGGTAGGTATGATGTTTATGCCACAGTGAACTAAGTTGTGTGTGCAGGAAAGTAACTTTCCAGATGAACTCATAGATCAGCCTCTCATTTAAAAAATGACTCCATATGACTGCTGTGTGATTGGTCAACTATCGAAGGGGATGTGTGTAAATAAAGGCACATACCAGCCACCATACCCAGCTACGCTAAGAACATTTGCCACAGTCAACACGTACTCCAAGTTTTCTCTCTAAGTCGTACTTATCTGATAATCAAATCTAAAAATGAAAGAGTCCATTCCTTTAGACCTAATTAATTGCAGCTGTGTACTCAGAATTTCCTTTGACTCTGAGACCACGCACAATTGTTCATGTATCGGCAGAAAAAGGCGTCAGAGGATCCCAGGAGTGCTTGTGGCTGTGACCCTCCCTTCACCAAGAAGCGCTGAGGTCCAGGGCTCGAAGGTCAAGCTGGAACCCACACCCAAGCCACCTCCCAGCTCCTCGCCCTGTGTTCGTTTCGCCACACCATGCTGGTTTCAAGGCTGTTTCAGAAACCTGTCTAAAATTTGCGATGAGAGCGGAACGCAACGCTCACACCCCATCCTCCTACCTCCCTAATGCACACAGTGTACATTGACATTTTTCGCATTTCCCCACAGTTCTCAGGGTCGTCCTCGCTGTGACCTTTTGCCTGGTGTCTGCCATCCTGATGGTGCTGCTGTTCACCCTCGTTCGCCATGGTCCCTGCTGGCAGAGAGACTCCTATGGGAGCATCTGAACAGATGGCTGACCAAGAGGGACAAACCGGAGACCCCTGTGACAGCATTCAGCCACGCCGCAGCTGAAGGACAGGCTTCTTCTGCGTGGGCGTCCCCTACCCACACCCTTCCTCTGACCCTGCCAAGAGCAGGGTGCTGGGCTGACAGACGAATGAACGCCCAGGTTACTTACTGAGGACTTCTCATCCTGGAGTAGAAGTGCAGGCTGTTCATTCGGCTGGTAAGAGGCTCTTCTGCAGAGGACGGGTGTGTTTGCCAACACAGCCGTCCAGACAGAAGTAAGAAGCCAAACTCCAACCAGCATTTTGCTTGCACAGATCGAAGGGCGAGAAGGTGGGCAAGTATTTAGACTAGGGAAAACCGGGTAAAGGCGAAAGTTAGACTAGAAGTAATGCTATCCAGGATGATTCTTAAGAAAGAAGACCCAAGAAATTATCAGTAAACCTTTTCTTTAGCTATTCAGTAGGTTTCACACACACACACACACACACATAAAACTAAAAAGAAATTCCTATCCAGTGTTTGATAGCTAACAGATTTCTGCATGTTTGTGTATACCAGCACACATGCATACAGTTATCCATATTTTAAATGCCTTCAGGAGAAGTATTTAATTCGCAGAAATTGTAATATCAACTACTTTAGGTCATTTTTTGACAATTTGTGTGGTGGGAATAACCAGAAAAACCCATATAGCCATGTTTTTTTGTTTTGTTTGTAAACCTCCACTATCAGAGCTGGATAGTTATACAATTTGATTGCTTTATTTCATTTTATTTTATTTTATTTTTTTGAGTTGGACTCTCACTCTGTTGCCCACACTGGAGTGCAGTGGCATGCTCACGAGCACTGCAGCCTCGACCTGCTGGTCTCAGGTGATCCTTCTGCCTCAACCTTTCAAGTAGCTGGAACTACAGGCATGCGGGTGTGTTCAAGACCAGCCCGGGCAACTTAGTGAGACCTCACCTCTACAATAAATCTTTAGTTCACTTTAAAATTATGAGATCTTACTTTGATGAGTGCTATTCATGGCCATGGTGAAATGATAATGTATTCTAATTGCCATAAATATGTGTGAATTTTACAAATAGTGAGGTAGGAAGAAAAGTGGACTCAGAGCTGATACCCGCTACCTCAGCTCTGCGCGGGCTTTGGGCTCATGACTAGGAACGAGTTCCATCACATCTGAAACCGTGAACTCCTAATCTAACAATGAATAGCCCGTGTTAGATGAACACAGAAGTCACAGCTAGTTCTTATGTTCTGCGCACAAATTTTTTCAGTTTTTGCTGTGGATGAGTCATTACCGAGCAATTGTCATGGATGGTACCACTGTGGTAAGCCTGAAATGTTTTTCTGCTCTGAACCCCACAACCATCCAGTTGATAGAAAATTCAGCCTCTCTCCTCAGGAGAGCTTCTACCTCCTCAGCTTCTGCCAATGGTAGGAAGAGTCGGAAAAGTGTCCTCTAGGCCTCTGGCCACCTTGTCTCTGAAAAGGTCACCAGTCATGCCCACGTGGTCTTCTGAGGGTGGGCAGGTGACACCTGTGCCACAGCTCCTAAGACTGTACTCTTGGAGCACGCCAGCTGGGACTGGCGGTTTTGCCCAGAACCACATGCTTCCTCCTTACCCCACAGAACCCTGCCTCACCTCTTAAGTCTCAGGAATCTCCCTCTCCCCTTGGGTTCTGCAGCTCTCACCTGTTAAGCTCCAAGATCTGACTTCAATCACCCTTACTTTCTATGTCATTCTCATTCAGTCAAGGCCATTGCAGACAAAAGGCTGAGAAGGAGTTACCTTGCCTGGCACCTTCGGCTTCCTGCTGCAATACAAAAACTAGCAAGCAAAAACAAAGAAACAAACAAAAAAGCACAAGATCCGCCTACATTTTTAGCTTGAGAAAACATCCAGCATGGCAAGAATAAAGGATAAACTATCTTGGTAAAGCAGGCAGCCATTTGGGTATATAAGCCACAATATCTTTTGTTAATAAGTGATGAGACTTTGGAAGTATAAACAGAACCACAAGTCATGGATTTTCTCTCTCATTCAACAAAAATGGACGGGGGACCTACCATTTGATATTCACAGATCTACATGCTAAATTGTCCACCCTAATGTGATTACTAATTTGTTTAGCTCCAACACTAACCTTATATAGGGTTGGTAGAATGTAAAATCTTTCACAACCCTTTCCCCATGTTATCTTTTAATACTGCCAGTGACTAAAAGGACCTCCACTTTCTATTGGCTCTGAGAGATTTTTTTTAAACATTCCCCTGTTCTACCACTCTTTTGATTATTGTAAAGAAAGCTCTCACTCTCAACTTAGTTTGTTTCCCCTACCTTCCACAGAGCTATTAAATACCATAACTGTTTTCCATATTTCATAGCAGAATAAAAAAATCCCAAGTGACAAATGATAGTGATAAAGCAGAAAGCACAAATGACCCGTAATGTTTCCCGGAAATAAACTAATCACGCAACTTCAACAAGAAAGGATGTGAATTCTTTCTAATGATAAAAGTTGCTTTTTCAGTGAATCAGGGATGATCAGTCTAGTTGCCGTGATCATAAATACTGCCTGAAAGACAACTGCTACAACTGCGATCGCCTCTGCTCTGAGATGTGTTTTCCTTTGAACAGGATTAGAATAAGGCAGTCGTTATCACGCAAACAGAGGGACATTTCCTAGCATAAAAAATATCAGCAATATGATTTCTAAAAGAAGTAGAAATTGACCTTCCATATGACCCAGCAATCTCCCTGCCGGGAATATAACCAGAGGAGCTCAAATCATTCTGCAAAAAAGATACCTGCACAGTCGAGGCTGCGGTGCCCGGGAATGGCCACTACACTCCAGTCTGGGTGATGGAGTGAGACTCCAACTCAAAAAAAAAAAAAAAAAAAAATTCCTGCACACGCATGTTTATTGCAGCACTATTCACAACAGCAAAAACATGGAGCCGACTGTGCTGCCCATCGAAACTGGACTGGATTTTTAAAATGTGGCACATATATACAATGGAATATTGTGCTGCCACAAAGAAGGACAACCATATGGACTTTGCAGCAACTTGGATGGGTTTAGAGTCTATCCTACTCAGTGATTTATCACAGAAGCAAAGAACAGAGTACCATATGTCCTCATTCATAAGCAGATCTTGAACGATTATCATAATACTATAAGAAAGGGATCAGCAATAATGGGAAACTGCTGGGGTGCTGGTGATGGGATTGGCAGTTGAGGGAAACTGCCAGGGGAGAAGGGGGCACACCTCATCAACCAGGGTACCTACGTCATGAACATTTGTATACCTAACCCTGAATTGTACCCCACACCTTTAAAATTAAAAATTAAAAAATATATATCAGCAATATCTCAGCAGGAAAGTGCTAAGAGATTCAGATAGGATAGCCCTACCTAGAATGACATTGCACAACAAAAGTGTGTGCTATAAGAGAATATGATTATAACAAGGATAATGTGTGGCTTTAGAAGAGTGCAAAGTGCTAGAGGCAGACATTTTACTGGAAGTCACTCAACCAACCTTTTTAATATGAGAACTGGCATTTCTTCTCCCAACTGCTTGTTCTCCTCCTACCTTGTCCTATTGTTAGCACTGTTTCTTTCTTTGTAGTCAGAGAGATTTCCTGGTAAATGAAAGCCAAAGTGTTACTGTCTCTTCTCTTTTTAAAAAAGATCTCTCTCTTTTTTATTTTTTGTTTTTTTTTTTGAGTTGGAGACTCATTTCGTCACCCAGGCTGGAGTGCAGTGGCACACTCACGACCACCCCAGCGTCGACCTGCTGGGCTCCGGCGATCCTTCCTCTCAGTCTTCCAAGTAGCCGGAACTACAGGCACGTGCTACCACGCCTGGCTAATTTTTGATGTATTGTAGAGACGAGATCTCGCCAAGTTGCCCTGG